TTCCAAATTCTTTGGGGCAGGAGAAGAGTAAGTTATCTAAACCTTTGAACAGAAATTTAATGAAAAAGAGTGGTGTTGGTAAAAGCTTTTCAGCAAAAATGAGTTATCTGATGAAGTTGAGCAGCAGAGATACTAAATAAACTTTAACAAAAAAGTAGTGAGAATTAATGACAAAGTATTTCAACTAAAACGTTAAACTGTTAAATAACTTAGCCTATACATAAGTAATATATATATATAATTTGAAAGGTATTTAATTACCTTTTTGTTCCACTTCTATTGTAGAGAGAGAGGTAAAGAGAGAAAGAAGAAAAGAGAATAGATTAATGGTACTGTATTGGCCAGGTACTTTACTTTACCTCTTTCATACGAAAAGGAAGCTTTATTAATTTACTTTAGTTACTACTATAGTATGTGAACATTTTATATTATATAAAAGCCCCTCCTCTAATATATACTGGATAATACGCAGACAAACTGAACAAAATACAGATAAATTTTAACTTTACAAAAATGTTTAAGAGGAAAAAAGAAAAAGAAACCCAACACTTGGGACGTACCAAGCCCCCTGAACTATTTGAGATACCTTGTCAGCAGCAGTCTTGGACTAGTTTCAGAGAGCAAAATGAAATACCCATACACTGAAATAGGACTGATCCAGATTTATGTATACAGTAAAAACTCCAGGGAAAAACTTTATAAAATATACATCTTCATATATTTCGCCAAAATCCTGTAAAACAGAGATCCCTACTTTAAGCAGGAGGACATTCCCTTGTGAAACAAATAGAGAGCTTAAGAGAGTCAAATGAAGCACGTCAGCGGACGTTCGTAGGGTCCTGTCCTATTATGTCTTGGAGAAACAAGCTTTAGTAGGATTTGGAAAAAAAAAACAAAACATTTTGAATATTGTAATACTTGTATAAGAGCCTGAAGACTTAAAGTGTTAATGAGTTAAAAATATCTAAGCACTATTTAAAAAGCCCAACCCCACAACTTGCTGGATATTTTGACATAAATTATTCACTATGCATAATAATAATGCTGCTGGAGAGCCTGCGTCCCTTTGGACACAGCCCCTTGCAGTCAGAATAAATAAATGCAGTGCACTTATTAATTGCTAAACGCTCCGTTTCTATAGCTAACAACCTCCTGCGAGAGGTTTTGGGGGCCCTCATCCGAAAACCCCCTGCGGTGGTGGCACAGACCCCTTCTTCTTCCAGCGCGGTGGGGCCCCAAACAGCGCCTGCACCCCCAGCCCTGGGGTTTGCTGGCTCTGCGGGGCCTCTTCCCCGAAGGTGTAGGAGAAGACAGGCCCCATAAAACATCACCAAAGGAGAAGCGAGAACTTGCCAGCAAAACAGTATGGTTTTGACAGCCGAGAGATCTCAGTTCAGAGAAGCGAGACAGGAATGCAAAGGTACGCACGCACGCTTTGTTTTTGCTTGCCCTGAGTTCACTCCGGCTCCTGCCAGACCGAGACACTTGCCAAATGATTGTCCTCCGGTGCTGGGACTGTAAAACCTCTTTTGCATTCAAAAGTCTCCTTCATTTGGATGGGAAACTGTGGGCTTAATGGCAGGACGATTTCAGGGTACGGCTGCAAACGCACTGGCTAGACATGTGCATCCGCGCTTTGCCGTGCGGGGAGGCGTACGACCGGAGCCAGCTACATAACCACAGCTCCCATAATGAATGTTTCCAACCTTAAACAGCCTTTTTTTTTTTTTTTTAACCTAGGCTTTGATTCAGGCTCCTTTCTACCTTATAACAGGTTGAGCTGAAAGGGAAATGTTTTCACCATGCGGCTGTCGGGGCTCTAATGTGCAGAGATGACGCAGTTCAGTGCAAGCACCTGGTTTTGCAAAGGGAAAGAACCAGCAAGATTAAAAGGCGCCGGACCCAGCAACTGGAGAAACCCACACAGCAATTACCCTCCCCAACCCAGGCGGTGGCTGGCCACGGTTAAGTAAGGTATTCAGAAAAAAGCATTAAATGTCCCTGGCAAAAGCAAGAAAGCAACAGGATAGACCCCCAAACTTCACGCCGATTCTTCTGGCTGACGGTACGCTGGACCTCTGGCAGTGTAGAAGGTAGTAATTCCCGTTTCCAAATGAGCAAAAGCTTTTGCAATGTACTCAACCAACTGTGCAATATTGTAAAGCAGGAATAGAGAAGCTTCTTCAGGATATAATATATTCGTGACCAGCTGAGCTGAGTGACCCGAAGCATTGATTACCCTTATCCTGAATAGCTCCGACGTGTTATTAGCAGTCAGTGCCACATCCAGCTCTCTTATAATTCCAGACACAGTACGTGTTTTGGTGACCTCCCGCATGGTGCTTTCCATTGTGTGTTTCCCAAATACATAGTTTCCTCCTGCTGATTTAAGACTTAATGCTTTTGAATTGCAATAATTCCTTTGCTTATACTGGGACAACGTTATATTATTTGAACAGGTTGCAATGGAAGCTTGGGGGATTTAGGTCATTGAGTAATACCAAAAGGAAGGGTCTAATTAGGGTCTGATTATCCCTTCAATTACGCAACACATCAGACCAAAACTGTCTACATGCAGAATTGATACAATTTAAAAAATTTTGTCCAATTAGCGACAAAAACTTCATATCTCTGCAATACCCAAAATACCTTAAAAGTGCCAGTCCACAGAATTTAAACACCGCTTAGGTGCACAGGAGGCACCTTACTTTCCTACAAGGATCTACAGAAAAAACAGGCATGCAATGTTATTTCTCTTACAGTGAGATCTTCCACTCCTGCTCTTGACACTGTCTGCACTTGAGCAGAACAAGGGTGTTTCACCTCAATTTCCTACACAGGTGGCAGTTCGGTGCCATTGGCTTCAGCAGTGCCAGAGGCCCAAAGGAAATGAAGAACCTCTTGTCAAGTCTGGGGGGAGTTACAAACAACACTTTCCATGCACTCTGATTTTCTCCCGTTTCTTTGGACGGAAGAAAAAACGAGGCCAATACGTGATCATCGGCTGCCACATCCTGCCCCGAGAGCAACCCCATCAGGCATTTCCCTGCCACTCATTCAGGAAAATTGCACAAACAAATTAATTAAATGCTCTTAGTACTGCTGGGTTGAGGCTCTGAAAATACACTCTTAATTTCCGGCACAATTAACACTTGAAGAACATTAACTGCTCATTTTCTTACCACCATGTTGAGTCGCACTCAACTATTTAAGGCACAAGAAGTGTGTGGTGGCAAAATTGCAGAGAGCTCTCTCCTTGGCATCACTTCAAAGCCACAACATGAGCACAAAGCTCCCAGAAAAAAAATAATCTGAGTAGGGGGGATGCTACAAGGCAAATGCAAAGGTAAATAAAAAGTTGTGCCCTGTACTTTGACAGCTGTTGTTGTGTTTTTGTGTGTTGGGTTTGGTTTTTTTTTTTTTTTTGGGGGGGGGCAGAATAAATTACATCCACTCCCTTTTCTTGTCCTTCACAGGTCAAACCAATTTGACATACAGAGACTCTGTGTTAAACACATAATGATAAAATGGAAGGACTAAGAAAAGAGGCTTTTGAGGCTGACCTTAGTAGCACAAGATGCAGCATCTCAGCCATGCTGAGAGCACTTTATACCAGCTGCATCTCACCTCCACCAACCAGCTTGACCAGATGTGTGGGAAGGTGAAGCTGAAAAGTGGTCATGGCACCACGGAACCAACTGGTGAGAAACATCCCCAGAAGGCAGAGCACTGGCCTTGTGCCCTGTCCCAACATGCCTCATTCCTGCAAGATAGTGACCATCACTTAACTGACTTGCCACTTGGTCCTGAGCCCTGCAGTGCTGGACTTGAGCATTGAGCTCCCTCTAACGATAAAATGAAGTTTGGAAGGAACCTTGTGCCAGGGCTCCTCCTATGAGGACGGTCTATATAACCTTTTACTTTCTTTCTCTAACCTCTAGACCCCAAGGTCCTTGGCCAGCCTTGTGCCAACAGCAAAGAACCCACAACGTTCTCAACCTCTGACTTGAGAGCTTCCCTACAGCACACACAGAGAGCTTTCCCAATTTATGCACTTCTCCCCAACACAAATACACCTTCTGTGGGTTTTAGGCTGAAAGGAAACATGCTTGGGAAGCTGCAAACCTAGCAAGGTACCCC